CCTGCTTTCCGGGTCCACTGGTAGAACCTTTTCTAATCGTTTCGGTAGATTTGACGAACCGGTTCTACCGAACTGTTGCGAACTGGTAGGAACCCACCTCTGTAGCTTTGGCAGTGCTTTTAGTGAGGCAAGAGAAAGCTTTTTCCAGAACACACTGCTTCAGTGCTGGGCCTCCAGCCTTTTGACTAGAGAATGCATTTTACCATTTCAAAAGAGCAGCTGCTTCATCCTCTTTGCAAAATCTAGATACGGGAGGATATGATCCCAAAGCATTTTGTAGATGGGATAGATCAGTGTTTCTCAACCTTGGCAACTTGAAGTCCTGTGGACTTCAAGTTGTCAAGGTTGAGAAACACTGGGATAGATCACCTTCTTTGGCAAGAGCAGATGCCCCTCCAGCTTTTGTGGGTTTTGAAAGAAAGTGCTTAAACAATGTTTTGGCCTTGTTCCTCCCTTGCAGGTATTGACCAGGGTCAGATGACCTACGAAGGCCAGCACTGGCACGCCACCGATGCCTGTTTCAGCTGCTCCCGCTGCCAGCAACCCCTGCTGGGGAAACCTTTCCTGCCCAAACAGGGCCAGATCTTCTGCTCCCGGGCCTGCAGCCTCGGCGAAGACCCCAACGGCTCGGATTCCTGTGACTCTGCCTTGCAAAGCACCCGTCCTCAGGATGTTCGGAGGACCAGCTGGCAGCAGCGCCGAGTTCAGTCCCAGGGCACGTCACCCTCCTCCATCACCCGCTCCGTTTCCTTTGCGGGGCAGACGGTACCGTCAGACTCGGCCCCAAGGATCCGAAGGAGCTGGAGCGGGGCGCCTGGGGATGAGGACGAGGAGGTGCCCACAGAAATGGAAGAGCTCTCTGATCCAGACAGCAATGGTTCCGGCTACAGCCAGAGCTGTGAGGAGCCAGTGGAACGGGCTTCCCGGGGAACGTCCACTTGCCTGCCTCCAGCCACTGACGAGGAGGAACCAGGAACAGGTGAGGTAGAGCTAAGTGGAACAAGAATGCTGCGGATGCGCAGGGTTAGTTGGGGGAGGCTTTGAGATCTAGCCCTCTCAATCCCCCCCCTAATCATCTTGTTTCTCCTCAGGGACCGAGATCCAGCCACGTTTCCAGCGTACCTCCCCCTTGCGCCACTCGATGCCGGAGCTGGGAATGCCCTCTTCCAAAACCTCCGACTGGAGCAGCAATTCCACTTCCAAAATTCAAGCCGCTACCCGGCCACGGCTCAGCGAGGGCAGGGAGCCCGGGACTTTTGCTCGGGGAGGAATACCCCGGGTTAGCTTCCGGGAACCTTTAATCTCGGGAGAGCCCAGCACCCCTGAGCAAGCCTCCTTGGAGACCCCGATGGTGCAGAAGGGGGGAGCCATCCGGGGACACCCTCGCTCCACTTCCGATAACTCGCTCAACCTGGGGAGCCAAGACTGGAGGCCGAGGAAGGGTAGGGGGGAACGGAGGGGAGCCAACCTCTCCTATTCAGCTTCAGAGAGCGCTTTTCCTGCCTGGCACCGGCGCTACCCACCCCGGGGATGGGACTTCAGCTCTTCTGAGTCTTCCGATTCGTCCTCGGAGGAAGAAGGCTACTTCCTAGGGGAGCCTATACCGCTGCCGCCTCATTTGCGTGCTGGAGCCAGTTCCCCAGAGGTCACGCCGCCCAGTGAATCGGCTCGCAAACGGCAGCGCCGAAGACTGCGGGTGGTCCGGGACAAGAACTGTGTGGTGGCCTGAGCTGTCCCGGCTTTGCTATTGCCGTCCAGCCGTAGTCGTCGGGCTTCGGGGCTTGTCTGAATGGTGAAATGTTGATCTTTCTCTCTCTGGGGGCCTCTGCAGCCGTAGGCCGTTGTTTCTTCCTCCTTGACCCGTGCCTATTAACCAAGGATTCTCCTCGGAAAGTGACCTCTGTCATCATGACCGCTGTTTCTGTTGAAACCTTTCCTCAGGGAGATTTGAGTTGTTGTTTCCCCCCCCCCTCCCACGCTGACCTCTGATCTTTAGACGTGACCCTTGTGTGAAGAATCTGGAAGTGTGTGTCTGTCTCTCTCTCTGTCTCTGTCTCTGTCTCTCTGTGGTGCTCTTTGAACTGTGGTAGTTTATTTTCCATGGTGGCCTTTTGACCTCTCAACTGTGACCTCCTGAACGCAGCTTTAACTTTGTCCTCTGGAAAGTTCAAGTCCTGTATAAACCTCTTCCCCGGTTCCCCGCCCCCTGCCCCGCCCGTCCCCCTGCCCCGCCCGTCCCCCGAGAGGGCGCTTCGAGCAGCAGCAATTTCCCCGGGAACTCTTGCACTTCTGTTTTGACCTTCTTACTGTGACCTTTGAATATTTGCACCATTCCTGGGTGGTCGCTTTGGCCCTTGATCCTTCGAGTTGCTATTACTAATATTAAGTCTCTAGCAAGGTAGCAGTTTCAAGCTTTGGGATTCTCTTCCTTTGGTAGCAAGGTGTTTGGTGGTGATGGTGTGTGTGTGTGATTGTGTGTGTGTGTGTACACTGAGTGAGGCTGAACTGTTCCCCAGCTTTCCACACTAGAGGTGGGAACGTGGGCCGAAGATGTCTTCTATGGGGTACGCCCCTCAATGTATCTTCCTAATCAAACTGGACCTACGATTTCTCTCCTCCTCACCCACCAATGTCTAGTCTCTCTGCACTGTGTGCATTTCTAAAGTTTGCAGTTTTTAAAACAATTGATTTTTTTTTCTAATTAAGGTTTTTAATTTAAATGAAATTGAAATAAACTTCATGGAAAAAATTTCTTTTTTGCATTGCACTGGATCATCACAGTGTGTTGGATATTAATATGCAAAGTAGAAAAGATAACATAAGGAACACATGGGTGTTACAATGCAGTGGGCAAAGGGGAGTGATTTTCTCATCACAGCAGCCTTTAGTGGAAATGGACCAAAGCAGATCAGTAGATAAGGATTATGAAACCTATCATCTGGAAATCAATAGGGCACCTAGTTGGTTATCCTTGGCTTACATATTAGGGACTGGCAAAATTTAGGGTGTACACCATAGGTTTCATTTGTTTCACACAACAAATGAACATGTCAACACAACAGAAAAATAAACTTATTTTCAGCTGTCATGATCAGATTGGGCTTGGGGAGGTCAGCCTAAAAGAGAATTTGGAGACCGTTGCACAGGCAGAAACACAACGCAGTATTATGTTCATCTTCTTGTCCTACCTTAGACAAATTGGGAACAGGATATATTATTTCATTGTAACTTAGTCAATCCATCTAATCCATCACTGAAATAGAATGCTGTGAGCTATCCTCTTCCTAAAAAAACTCAGAAGTAAAATGTTTTGGATTTGACTCTTCTACCAAGTCTGCCAAATATACCCTTGGTGAAAAACAGAAGCTGGTTTTGGGAAGATTGGGTAGCAGAATCTGCACACATTTGAACTCAGCAGGGTAGAAGGTAACAAACTTTATTTTAAATAAATGAAAGTTGTGACTTGTGAGATGCCACTTATTTGGTAGAACTCCCCAAACCTGGAAATATAGCGATTACACTACACTAAAGATGCAGAGAACTTCTTTTAGATGATATGTTTGAACTATTTAGTTGCTGACTGAAGGTCTTTATCTGATCAAATCCTTGGTGGTTTTAATCAAAGATTCTTTTATTACATTTTCATTTTCCTTTATACAATCACTTAAATACTGTGCAGTTAAAAAAAAAAGAA